GGCGAAGGGGCGCGGGCACCCCTGACCCTGACCCCTCTTCCTCCTGTCCCTGCCGCAGCCACGACAAGGGACCCGAGGCCGAGGAGGGCGTCGAGCTGCAAGAAGGTGAGTGCTTGCGGGTCCACTGGGGCTGCGGCCCACGCCCGGAGAGGGGCTGGGGGCGCTCTGACCCCAGGCGACCGCTGATCATTGCTCTCTACACTCTGACCGCAGGCGGGGACGGTCCTGGGGCGGAGGAGCAAACGGCGGTGGCCATCGCCAGCGTCCAGCAGGCGGCGTTCGGTGACCACAACATCCAGTACCAGTTCCGCACAGAGAATAATGGAGGACAGGTGAGGCAGCGGGCCGGGAGCCCCGCGGGCCAGTGGTGGGCTGAGCAGAGGGCGGCGCGCGGGCGGGCTGAGAGGCTCTGACCTGGCCCCAGCCCCGGCCCCAGCGCCGGTCTCGTCGCTCTGCCGCCCCCTGCAGGTGACATACCGCGTAGTCCAGGTGACTGATGGTCAGCTGGATGGCCAGGGAGACACAGCTGGCGCCGTCAGCGTCGTGTCCACGGCTGCCTTTGCGGGGGGGCAGCAGGCTGTGACCCAGGTGGGCGTGGACGGGGCAGCCCAGCGCCCTGGCCCCGCCGCTGCCTCTGTGCCCCCAGGTCCCGCAGCACCCTTCCCACTGGTAGGTGCCCAACAACTTCTGGGAATATGGAGAGGGATGCTAACTATCCTGGAAGCTCCAGGGGGTGGGGCAGGTGAGGTGGCACACATGCCACCTTTAGGCTGTGGATGATGTGGGGTCAGGTGCCTTTTGGGCAGAGGGAATCCTTAAATCTCTTGGAGTTTTGTCTGTTTTTCCTGTAAAATGGGGATGATGTCTGTAAGTGAAAATCCTCTTGGAGTAAAAAATGAACAGATTCAGCAAGTGAAGGCTGAGTCAAGGTGCTTGGCTGTCACACTGTCACAGACACAGGACAACATAGTACGCTCAGAGGGCTTCCTCCTCCCCACAGAAAATGCACCAAAAATCAAGTACCACAACAAAGGGGACAGAGATAGCTAAGGGTGGCCTCTGTGTCCTCCTACTCCCCAGGCTGTAATCCAGAATCCCTTCAGCAATGGTGGCAGCCCAGCAGCGGAGGCTGTCAGTGGAGAGGCGCGGTTTGCCTATTTCCCCGCATCCAGTGTGGGAGATACCACTGCTGTGTCCGTGCAAACCACCGACCAGAGCTTGCAGGCCGGAGGTAAGGAGAGGAAGTGGCGAGGGTGGAAGGCAGGGGAAGCAACAGGCCTATCAGGGAGGGAAGTCCCCAACCAGTTCCAACTCTGCCCCATCTTGGTGCTAACCCCTGCTTCCCCTGCAGGCCAGTTCTATGTCATGATGACACCCCAGGATGTGCTGCAGACAGGAACACAGAGGACGATCGCACCCCGGACACACCCCTATTCCCCGTAGGTGCAGGAGTCTCAGTCCCAGGGATGCTGGGAGGTCTGGTATTGAGACCAGAAGAAGGGAGGGTTTTCTGTCTCTGAGCTGGGCAGGTCATCACACAGCAGGCACCAGGTGCATTTTTAGTCTGTTTCTACATCTGAAGGGCAAGTAGAGAAAGACCATGCTCTTGCTTTCTGCACATGAGTTTACCATACAAAGATAATTGCAGAGTCTGACTTTTCAAATAAATGCTTAGGTAAATGAGCCTGAGATAATAGGTGCCCATTTTTTTTTCTCTTCTAGAAAAATTGACGGAACCAGAACACCACGGGATGAGAGAAGAAGAGCTCAGCACAATGAAGGTAAGGACAGATGAGGCTCCTGGGTTGGCCCAGGCTGCAGCCTCCCAGGCACAGCCAGTCCTGGGTTTGGCATTACAGACACGGAGGCAGCTGAAGCCTGTCGCCAGACTCGTTCCTAGTGTTTGACAGGTGCTTGTTGAATGCTGGAACAATCAAAATGGAGGGGCAAGAGAGGAGAGCATGGGCTCAAGAATAGAGAAGCAATTGATATTGGCCAGCTGTTTATGTGGTACCCGGCTCCTGGTTTTGCATTGGTGGTCAGCATGTAAAATGACAGATTTTACATTCACATAGAGATTTCTTGAGAAATTGTGTTGATCCGGCTGCCCTGAACCAACCTGGCAGCTGTTGTGTCCTTGCATGACATTTCCATGCCCATCTGGCCCTCCAGCAGTAGCTCTGGTCCCCTGGGCGCACACTCAGGGGTGAGCTGTGCCTCTGGCTGGGTGAGCCCAGACCCTCCTGCCCTTCCTAGAAACAGCACATCCCATCCTGAACTCTTGTCCCTTGGTGCCGTTCTTGGGTCTTCCTGCCTTAGTCGTCATCACTGCAGATACAGCAGCCTATAGGTGCCAAGGGAGCACTGATACCCAAACAGACATCACTGGATAAATATTTACTGACCCTGCATCCCTGGCGTGGCAGCCCAGGCCCTGTGCCAGGTCTAGAGCCTGGCCTGAACATGGAGGCTCAGAAGAGGGAGGACCTGTGGCTGAGGCTTTGAAGTGCAGTGATGTGAGGAAACCAGGAAGACTTTGTGAGCAGACTGGGGGGGGTCATATTGCTTCAGGGGTGCTGGTTCAGTTGTAGTAGAGGTTCCATGTGGTGGCCTGGGGAGCAGAGCCTCAAGGGTTGAGGAAGGCCTTGGGTCCTGAACTGTTTGCCGTGGGGTGGGGTTGCGTTTCTGTTCTGAGCTGCTGGCTGGGTTCAGGCACTGGGCCGACAGGTGCGTACTCTGGCAGCCCAGAGTTCAGGCCCACAGGATGATAGGTCTCGACAATCACAGTGCGCCCTGGGATGGTAGAAACAAGTCACACGAAGCTGCAATGTGGCTTTAGGTGGCATGGTGGACACTTGCAGAAGATAAAGCTGGGTGAGGAGGGTGACAGGAATGATGGCTGTGTGCTCTGATGGCCTCTCAAGGGGTAACGTTTGTGCAGAGGCATGAATGGACCTTAGGGAATGAGACACTTGGGGATCTGGGAGGAGTCCCAGACAGCAGGGAGCATGGAAAAGGCTCAGGCCCTGCGCTGCTGCCCAGCTTGTGTGTAAGAAGAGAATTCGTGGAAGGACGGAGGAAGGGGGTGCCTTCCGGGCCAGATTCCTCTGGGCCTTATGAGAGGCTTCCCGGTAGCTGTCCCTGCCCCTGAGTGGGGTTCTGGTGTGACAGGAAGCCAGTAGAAAGTTCCTGAGTGGGGACTGATGGTAAGAGTGGCAGAAACCAGAAGTTTTGAAAATAGGAGGTGACCACGGGTGTCCACCTGAGACGGCCAGGTGTGGAGAGAAGACTCCCATTGCTGAAGAGTCAGGGCCTTGGCTGAGATCAGGTTGCTTTAAAGGGACAGGGTGAGTTGGAGCTTGGTTTGGGTTGATTTGAGGGGCTGAGGTTTGAGGGCCCTGCAGTGGGCTACCAGAGCAGCCATGGTTCCAGCCTCCTGGCCTCAGGCTAGCATTGAACATCTTTGCCTGTGTTGACCTTTGGAAAATGGCACTAACACGCTCACTCGGGGGCTCCCAGTGGAGATCAGTGAGCTGAGGTTGGGAGGCCCCACCACTGTTGCATGGGAAGCTGGAAGTACACATCCCTGT